CTAAGATTGAGCTCAAACTCACTTGTAGGTCAAATCATTCATTTGATTAGTACTCCTCACAGCTTAGGGTCATCCACAAATTTGCTGAGGGTACACTCTATGCCATCTTCCATTATTGTTGATGAACATATTGAACAAAACCAGCCAAAGGATCAGCCCTGGTCACTCAACTTGAAAGCAGCTGCCAACTAGACATTGAGCCATTGATCACTACCCTTTCAGCCTTACCATCCATTCAGTTTTCTATCCAGCTTACAGTCCATTCATCCCACCTGTACTTACTCAGCTTGCTTTCAAGAATATTGTGGAAGACTATCAAAAGCCTTGCTAAAGTCAAGGTACATTATTGTCCACTACTCTCCCCGCATCCACAGAACTAGTCATCCCATCACAGAAGACAATCAGTTTGGTCAGGCATGACTTGCCCTTGATCAATCTATGCCAACTTCCTAATCACCTTCTCCTCCTCCAAATGCTTAGAATTGGATACCTTGAGGACCTGCTCCATGATCTTTCCAGGGATTGAAGTAAGGCTGACCAGTCTATAGTTTGCCAGATCCTCCTTCTTCCCTTTCTTAAAGATGGGCACTATAGTTGACCTCTCCATCAGCATGTTTTCAAAGACAATGGCCAGCAGCTCTACAGTCACATTGCCCAACTCCCTTAGCACCCTTGGTGCATTGGATATAGCCCCATGGACTTGCATGCATCCAGCTTTTCTAAAGAGTATTTAACCTGTTCTTTTGCCACTGTTGGCTGCTCACCTCTTCCCCAAACTGTACATGCCAGGTGCAGTAGTTTGGGAGCTGATCTTACCTGAGGTTAAAAAAAAAAAAACAAAAAAAAGGCATTTCCTCATCTGTCACTAGGTTGCCCCTCCCATTCAGTTAGGGACCCACACATCCCACTCCTCCTCTTGTTGCTGACATACTTGTACAAACCTTTTTTGTTATCCTTTACATCCTTTCCTAGGTGGAAACCCAATTGTGCTTTGGCCTTCCTGATTTCATCCCTGCGTGCCTGAGCAATACTTTTATACCTAGAGACCTACCAAATTCACGGTTGTAAGATTTTCACAGAAAATGTGAAATTGGGTGGGTTCGCTACAAAACAAATTTACCAGCAAGCAGAGAAAAAGGGAGGAAGTCCTGCCATCTTGGACCATGGGGAGGGGGGTGGGGAAAGAGTGGGAGGTGGGAGGCCAAAGAGGAGACTGTAGGTGGGGAGGAGGAAGGAGGCTGGGTGAAGGTGAGGGCTTCTTGCAGCAGGAGGTGAGGAATCCGCAGGCGGTTTGCACCAGGTCCCCAGCTACGGCAGGCAGCCAGGAGGCTGAACTGAGGTCCAGAGCCCTGGCCCAACTCATTGAGCTCATGCACCTGCCACGAGTAAGGAGTTGAGAGGGTGGGGGGAAGAGGGGAAGGCTCCACAGACCCTGATGCAGACTCCCAGCTGCCTGCCACAGCAGGCCTGGGACCATGGTGCAGCCTCCCCACTTAGGGATGGCCTGAAACTGTGGCTTAATAATGCTGAATAAATTTATGGACGTCATTAATCCACACTCAGTAATGAGTGGAGTAATGGCTTCCCCAGGGCTTAAATCAAGGTAATTAAGCTGCAGGTTTGGGCCACCTGCAATCTGTAGGTAGGGGCAGGACTGCTGGGGCCCCGTGGCCAGAGGTGTGGGAGAAGGGGGGCCATCATCATGCTCAGCTCATGAAAATGGTGGGCGGCTGGCCTCCTCCTCAAGTTTGGTAGACCCCAAATTACCCCCTTCCCTGGTAGTCTGTCCAAGTTTCCACTTCATGTAAGGTTCCTTTTTGTATTTTAGCTCACTGAAGAGGAGTACCCTGCTTATCCAAGCTGGTCTTCTGCTATACTTGTTAGTCTTCCTGCACATCAGGACAGTTTATTCCTGTGCCCTCAGTAAAGCTTAAAATACAGCTGCTTCAAGGTGCAGCAACAACTGGGGGCTCCAGGCTCACCCTTCCTCTGGCTACCCCTTCCTGCCATTGCCCCAGGGGGCAGTGCAGCATGGTGCAGCCTTCAGTTCCAGGGGAGCCTGCAGTCCAGTCCTGTGTCATGGTGTGGAGGGAAAGAAGGCAATTGTGGTGAGAGAGGTCAAGCTAAAGCTGCCCAGATGCATGGTGCAGCAGGGAGGCATGTAGTAGTGGGGGATGCCCAGGTGCACAGTGCAGCTGAATGGAGCACAGGATGCAGTATTAAGGGCGCTTGGGCACACAGTGCAGCAGGGGGTATGGGATGCAGTGGGGTGCACCTGACTGTGATGCAGCGGTGGCGGGGTATGTGGTCCCTGAGGCCCAGGGCTCCTGCTAGCATAGCCTGAGGGGCATGAAGCCCCTGGCCACTTGGAAGCTGAACAACCCTGTTCTAGGCAACAGAGGAAGGAATAAAAGAGAGGAGCAGTGAATCAGAGCTTCACAAGGACTTTTCTTTCCTCACAAGTACGATTTACGTTCAGTTGTGTCAAGTGAATGGACTGACTTACTACAGCCAGCATTCATCCAACTAAGGCCCTTCTACATGTTACAGCTCATGGATGAGAACAGTATTTAAAGGTAACTGATTTGTCATGATCTTTCCAGGGATTGAAGTAAAGCTGACCAGTCTATAGTATTAGGGGTGCTTGAGCACACAGTGCAGCAGAGGGCAGGGGATGCAGGGGGGTGCACCTGAAGGTGGAAAAGAGGACTGTGGGGGCTTTTTTTCTTTCTATTGCATGTTGATATATGAAACTGCCCTGGAAAGCTTTGTTCTGTTGAAGTTTTATATGGTGAGGGTGGATTTCTTCCTATGCTTATTTTAAGCCCTCTCTATACATTATAGGTATTGCACAACTAACTGGTTAATCATGCAATTACCTGGAGACCAATTACACATGCAAAGCAGCTATCACACAATAAAAAGCTCCAACCACATAAAGTTAGACCTCAAAAATGTGTACTGACTTTATAGTTGGTTACTATCCAGCTTTAATTAGCACATGTAGCAGGGTCTTCCCTGCAGCTGGCAGCCTCATCAAGACAGGGCTCCCAGCTACAGGGGTGCAGCCCCTGAGCCCTGGGGATCACAGCTCCCCGCATGCAGGTGCAGTCCCACAGCGGACAGGGCTCTGAGTCCATGCTGTGCCTCTCATGCAGTTGAGACCTGAGCCCTGTCAACTGTAGGACTCTGGATCCCAGGTGTATGTGGCCCCATGGATGGCCCCTCAGCAAAGGGGGCTCCCAGCTGTAAGCACCTGCTTCTTGCCAATGCAGGGGGAGCCCAGGATCAGGCTCACCCTATACCCATAATACGGCACAATGGGATCTAATGTGCCTACAACTGCGCCTCCTGCCATGCAGCATAGCAGGAGGTGCGACTACGTGGATCACATATTAGATTCAATCAGGACTTTACCTGCTTGTGTAGAGAGGGCCTAACTGATACATAACCTAAAAGACTAGTAGCCATTATCCTTTTATATATACAAACTACAATCTAGCAATTTGCCATAACATTTATTTTCCCAAACACTAGCAACAGCCAAACAAAAGAATATAAAAAAATTTTGCAACTCAGTATCTATCATCTCAAATACAAAAATTAAATCTTATTCTTCCTCAGCTTTTATGATCTTTTAACTAAGCAGCTAAAATAACTTTCTTCTATTCCCTTTAGGTTTGGTTAGTGCTTTCTTAAAGCCTTATCAAGCACTATTAAAAGAAAAAAAGCATCTTGCTTTAAATAAATGTCTTCTACGAAGGTGTGATTGTTTTTTCTGCACTTGTGGATCTTGATTCAAATCTTCCAATGCAAAAAGTCATTGTCCATTTGCTCATCTTGGGGTAAAAAATGATTAAAGTATTCCAAACAAAATTACAGCACACCATTCATCTTAAGAACCAGTGAGACAGAGCCAGCTTTAAGAGATCACACAAAAAAGGAGGAAGTTGTTAAGCCTTTTTTTAAACATTTCTTCCTTTAAACAACTTGTAGAAAACACTTAAGTATTTAACACAACTAGCTTATGTAGCTGGTAAAGAAAAGCATTCCTTCCTCTTTCATTCTGCCTCTCAGATTGATCAATGATGAGTTTTGAATCCACCTAAAGAAAACAAAAAAATGACAATGTTAGGCAGATGCAACTCTGCAAAAAACCTTTCTTATAAACAAAGTAGTGAAAAAAAATCTTATTTAGTTTCCTAAGAGTTTAACTGGTCCAAGTCAGACAAAATTCTGCTCGTTTTCCATGGTGTGCGCTTGAAAACTTAACAAAAAACACTACTCTAGAAATCCTTATTTGTGGAATTCCCATGTCGGAGTTCACCTCAACAAGAGATCTACACATTTTACTCATCAGCTGAACACTTAAGGTATTTTGCAGTAGCATAACTAAGCGGAGATGTGCATGGAAACAGCCACTGCTGTTCCAGTCGACTGTACTTCTAATGCTGCTGGTGGAGCTGCTGTCCTGTTATGCCTCTGGATATTTGGTAATGACATCGAATTAAATGCCCTCGCTAAAATCATTTATGTACTTGAACAAAAGCGTACACTACAGTGCTCATACTGGTGGTTTAAAAACCGCCATTAGTTACTGTTCTTTGACTTACCAGGTCAATATTGACGTATTTGTAGATTAGGAGAGGAATCAGTAAGGAGCACTGCTTTATAACAACATTCAAACTGATCTTCTGTGCACGTGTGCGCACGCACCCCCCCCCCCCCCCCA